AGTAATGATATCTCTCGTTCCACGGCCTTTTCTGAATCTGGCTTGAACTTCTGGAAATTCTCTGTCAAAGTATGCAGCCGTTTCTGTATTACCTTTAGCAAAACTTTACTTGCTTGAGATATCAAAGAGATTGTCTGATGATTTCCGCATTCCATTGGGTCATCTCTCTTTGGAATGGGCACAAATATGGATCTCTTCCAGTCATTCGGCCAAATAGTTGTCTTCCAGATTTCTGGGGATCTGTATGATGGATCAACTCCTAACTAATCCCTCTCATAGCTGCCTACCTGTGTTACTAACTTAAAAAGAATGAGATTAGGGGTAGAGTTAACTAAGGGCTTGTTTTATCTCAGGAAACTTTTTTTGCTTTAGGAAGACCTTTTGAAAAAAATTGGTAGATAATACCTGGGGACGGAAATTCTTGGTATCACTTTTTCAGTAATTAAGTGAGCATCAACAATGAATCCAGTATATGATAGAATTTGAGCTTTATGTTCTGCGTATTACAAGGGCTGCTGGGTAGTAGAAACAAACAATACCCTTTCCCTCCCCCCCACTTCTCTCTCTAGGTAAATGAGATTATCATGAGAAACAAAAGAGCCACAAATTCTAAGGTAAACTAGATGCATGTGGTAAGACCCATGTTTGGTTATTAAATGCAATAATGAGGCCAGAGTCTGAGGAATGGTTCCCAGAACCTGATTCAAGTGAGTAAACTCAGGCATTCTTTAATGCCACGTGATACCACAGAGACCTGCTTTGCCCAGCTACACACTGGGAAGTCAACTGACCTCACCCTATATATTACAAACTGCTGCCTGACTTGTACAAAGAAAAACTAATACCCAGGGAACAATTTCTGCTCTCTAGAACTTTCCAAAGTATTTATATCAGTGATTCTAATTGGACATGTCCAGTTAGACTCACAGAATAGTATCTCTCCTACTTCATACTACAAAACAGTCTACTATTATTCCATCTAAAACATATGCTCATTTCAGTTTTGGTTGCATAAGAGGATGTCAGCCGTACCTTGGCTTGGCCTAACTCACCAGCCACATCTGATAATCTGTCTCTGGGGACTAGAACTCACTGCAGTTCAATCCCCAGGAAAAGCTTGTTTAGAAAACCAGAATTAGAGAGGATTACTTGATATTTATGAAATCTCTCTGTTCTTCTTTGGAACTCCCAACATTTATCTGTCCCTGGATTAAGCCAGACCATCAAAAAAGAAGAAATTCCTAACTGATTTCCACTCTGGCCTCTGGCCCCTCCCTTAACTGAGAGATACTGTAACACTCAAATCTACAGAACTCTTTGTTGTACTATTGACGTCTTCACTTTTCCCAGGCTGCACTGTGCCCTCTTTATGAAGATCTACCAGGGACAGTTGTTCTTGTCTAAGCAGTTGGTTTACTTTTCCCCTGTAAACCACATGTGTTTCACCTTTGTTTCTGTCTTTTCCTTACTTTACAAACTCTTACATTTTCTCTCATTTTCTCATACTTTAGATTATTGAGTTTTCTGAATTTTTTATAAGCTCCTTAAATGCTTGAAGGAAAAAAATGGGGATATAAACATTGGAGTCCTGGTGTGGCACTGCAGGTTAATGCAAGGTTGGTTTGAACCGTGAGGTCAGTAGTTCAAGCTCACCAGCTGCTTCTCGGAAACCCTGATTAAATAACAACTGTTATTCCTATTGTCTTGAAATTTAAACGTCACTGTTCTGAATATGACAAAGTGTTCAGTTCTGTGTTGTCAAGGGCCTTGGTCATCTAGCTCATCTCTGTTTCCATTTGCTAGCTCTGTGGCTGGCATGTAGCAGATACTCAGTGACAGGATCTTATGGTACGTTGGTACCTAAGGGTCACCATCATCGTGGCCTATGGGTGCTCAGAAACAAAGTGAAGCCATAGCTCTCCTCCATCTGTATTGGATATGGGAGGATGCATCCAGCACATCTAACACTTTCTGTGTCTCCCTCTCTGCAGACCCACATTTCAAGACTCCCTCCCGGTGCGGTGGCAGGACAGTCCGTTGCAATCGAAGGTGGGGTTTGCCGCCTGGAGAGCCCAGTGAACTGATTCTTCGGACTGAGCAGGAAACATCTGAAAGGCATTTCAGTACCTGAGCTTTCCGGGCTTTTTAATTAGAGTTGAATGTTTCTCATCTTCCTCCTTTTATAACTCCTCTTGCAACCTCATCCACAACTCGAGGCGCAAGTGCTGCTGTAGCTAGTGTTTAGTGATGCGTGTGGATCTTTGGCAGGTGAATGTGACTGAGTGTATGTGTGTGTGCACAAGTACACACAAGCTTGCAGTGTATACGCTTCTTCCTTGATGAAATAGTAACTTCACCTTATTGTGCAAACATAAACAAAAATGATGAATTCTTCTTTACAAATTGTGTTCTTAACTGTTTACAAGTAAAACCTAAAGTTGCAGGAAGTAATTCTGATTTCATAGAAAGATTCCAACTGTCATTCATGTGTCTGTAATGAAAAGTCAGTCTACTTAAATGATTTGACAGTGGCAGTGCTCCATTTATGAACAGTAATGAGTAATAAAGTGTTTTTATTTGTTAGCCAGTTTAAGTGGATCCTGTGGTAGCTTAAACTGTTGTTCTCATCCCTCATACAGGGCATTTTTCTGTTACAAAGAATGGTTTCAGTGAAACAGTCGAGCAGAGAATTAAGGTCAGAACCTTTTAAAATAAAAGTCCTATTGATAAAGTTTGTACTTCTTTCCTCAAGCTCTTCTAAGCTCCAACACTGCTAGCCTGGAGCTGTAAGCATACTATATCATGAAAGAGTATATGTGAGGACAGACAGTACTGCAGAGTGTTGGATTTGTGTACAATGGAATGTTATTTACAATGTAACACTGTAAATAAGAAAGCAAAGTTTATGGAAAATTCAATATTATCTGTTTCTTGTTTAAATATATTTTTAACGTGAAGGCAAAAGAATACATGAAACATATTACCAGGTATAGTATGTGACTCCTTCTCAGACTAATAAATTATCTTTTAAAGCCTAGTTTGGAGAGCTTTTTTATTTGCTTGCTTTTTTGTTTGTTTGCAAAGTAGCTTCTTCCAGAAATCATACGTATCCATCCTACTATTGTTGTGGTTTTTCAACATACATTCTTAAACCTGTACAGTTAGTGTAGGTATTAAAAGGTGAAAGTTGAGCTTAATACATGATTCAAAGGTCATTATGGAAGTTCCTACCATTTCAGCTGCAGTTTGATAATTTTTTTTAAAGGGAAGGATATTTTTCCTTGTATAAGAGAGAAGGGAATTTTTTTTCTATTAAAGAAGACCTAAGTTTGCTGCCCTTTGAAAAATTATAGTGACAGCTAAAAATGCAATGGTTCCAGTTGATAAATAGTTCCATTGCTTCTAAAAGTTATATTTAGTGATTCTGGAGCACATTAAAAAAATTAAAAAACAGGACTTTCCTTTTGATTTCATATAAAAGAAGTGGTTATCAAGAAGATACTAAAGATAGACTTGCTCAGGAGGAAGACGTTTCCTGTACCATATAATCATGCCTCTGGGCAGTACCTGATAAAGCCCCAGAAGAAATTATACACTTGACATCGATGTATGGCCAGATTATAAAGGAAGACAACCAAAATGGTGTGGGTGTAAATATGATTTGGGATTGCTGATTTATATTCCTCATACAGGCAATTACATTTGTCTCGCTGTGTTCTTGTAGACAGATTGGTGCCTAGGTATCTGTTTCTCATTCTTAATGAGACTGAGAATTTAATAAGAGATGCGCTGGCTGATGGGGGAAGTCTTTGGCTTCAAAAGCTTTCAAAGACCTGTTACCTGTTGGCAGCGTTTTTTCCAGGAACTGGGCTGGATCATATAAAACTATCTGGACACTTTGTAGTCTGAAAATCATCTGATCTAGTTCACCAGAAATACCATTTCTTTCATCTCTTTCGTCTCCATTCCATTCGTATTTCTAAGATTGGGCTTATTAAAGACCCCTTTTATGAAGACTTTAAATACTAGTCAGTATAAAAGAGCATTGCCTCTCCAAGAGCACTCTGCCAAAACATTATTCTCCAATTTTCTAAAATTCTGTTGTTTATTCAAGGACTATCAAGAAGCTAGAAGAAGAGGGAAAGTGATTCTAAGAATCATGGAAGTAAATATGCTACATCGATGTAAGACCAGATATCAAAGAGCAGGTACTGAAACCAGAGGCTCTAACACATACAAGACCAACTTCATTTCACACAGCAAAAAGGTTGTTCTTGGTTGCTATCAAGTTAATTCCAAGTCATGAAAACCCCATGTGTGCAAAACAGAACTGCTCAATCAGGTTTTCAAAGCCATGGCCTTTTGTAAGCATATCACCAGGTCTGTCTTGAGAGGTTTCTCTGGATAGCATTGAGCCACTAACTTTTCAGTTAGTAATCATTCACTTGACAATTGTAAATTACCCAGGTGTTGTTAAACGTCATTGAGTTGGTTCTGTATAGTGTTTCCCAGGCTGTAAATAAACCTATGTGAGAGCAGAAAGCCTCGTCTTTCTCCTACAGAGCCGTTGGTGGGCTTGAACTATCAGCACACAGTCTAGTGCTTATAATATGAAGCCACAGTGCTTCAATGCCCAAGTTGTTAAGTGCTGTCAAGTTGGTTCCAACCCATAGAAACCCTTATAGAGTTTCCAAGGACTGACTGGTGAGCTTGAACTGACATTGCAGTCCCAACGCATTAACCCACAGTGCCACACCAGGACTTAACTATTGTTCATAGTTAATCTCAAACGTCCTATCATAAACAAAAAATATCACTACTTCTCAGTGGATGCTGTTCTCTACACAGGTAGAACATGATTTAAAAAAAAAAACAAAACCAAAAATCTAGACCAATTTCCTAGTCTAACTTGGCATCACCAAGATTCTGAAACTGTTTTAAGGTGCCCACTTTTAGCATGAATGATGTTAAATGCATGCACGTATTTTCATTTTTCTTAAGACCTGATCATTGCTTGGTTAGTTGTCTTAACTAAAATTAAGCCTGGCCTGAATTTGTTATGGTCATCACTGGAGCCTTGCTCTGGGTTTGAAACAGATGTCTTTAGGCTAATGGTGGAAGGAACTAGAGGGCATGTGTCCATCCTTCAGCAACTCGGAGCCTCTGTGCTGAATGACAGCACAAGCTGGCCTTTTTCATGCTTCGTCCTCCTCCTCTATTATCAGCTCTGCCACTGCTCCCTGCCTTCAGTGTGTTTGCCTACAGAAGGTCCTTTCTCATCTCTTAAGCGTAACTTCTAAATGTGAGCTTGTACTCCTAAATGCTAGTCTGAGAGCAAAGTGTGTGAATTTTGGTTTATGGTTATGGGGATATCCCTTTTAGCCACTTAAAAGCCTTTGTGGGGGCACTAATTTCTAGTTTTCTCTCACATTTGAGTGTAACAATGTTGCATACACCTGCAGGTCAGCAAGGTTACTCTATTACTAGATGGAGAAGAGAGAAGATTTAGAGAGTCTCTATTTGTGAAATTTTGAGATTGTAATTGATTATGGAAGAATCTTTTTTTCCTGCTTACCATTATTACTACAAAATCAGTCCATGCTTATTACAACAACCAAAAAATTAAGGGAAACAAACAAAATTTAACTCCTATGTCCACCTTCCTAGAGCAACAGTTTTCAGCACTTTAGTTCATAAACTTGAAGACTTTTGATGCATACATTTTCTATGTGTACTTAACACAAAACTGGATTACATTGAACATACTGCCTAATAAGCTGCAGTTTTCAATTAATAATATCATGAAAAAATGTCCAGATCTTCCAGTTTACACAATACTGTTGTATTTCTGTTCAATACTTGTATTAGGATGGATTTTCTAGAGCATCAAAACTAATGAAATGTGTGTGTGTGTATGCAGAAGTGTATTATATCAACGAAATGGCTTACAATTGTAGAGTCCCTGGTCCCCACTGGAAGAGAGAGAGCCTTTCCCACATGTCCATTATATTGGGAGCAGATTACACTCCCAAGGAAACATCCTTTCAATTGATTGGTTACTCATAACCACTCATGATAGAGTTCACTGGGCCCGTATTAGGTTTCTTCACCAGGGGAATAGCACATCTCAACTGCTAAACCACCAGAAATCCTGGCCTAGTCAACTTGTGAGAACCCTAACTATTACAATGTAGTTTTATCCTACAGCTTTTTTTTTAGAAATCTATTACCAATCTGAAACAGTACAGTCAGTACCCATTTTTCTTATGGCCTGTACCGTGAACATGGTGATGAGATCTTACCCAATGAAAGTCTACTCAGCAAGTGTCCTAGAACAGTCATCTCCTTGTCCTTTAACTCTGTCATTTCCGTGTGCTCCAGACAACTTTCGTCTCCTTATATCTGCATCTCTGTACCTGAGGGCCTTTTATGGAAACTTGGAAACCTGTTTTGTCCCTGTGCACAGTAGGTGCGAAGTAATACTCCCCAGAAGTTGATCTTAAGAAAAGTCTAACAAACCAGTGCATAAATATACTGGCTTCCTTGATCTTTGGGTGAGATAATTCTGAAGTGTATGTTTTCCTGAGCTTTCCTAGGAATTAAGCTTTGGTTGTCCCACTGTAGTAGTAGACTTATTATGCACTTTGTGTTGACTGCCTTCCCTTCCCTGGACACTGTGTTTCTTGGAATCATCTAGCAAATAAACTACTCACACTCAACTCCTTGTCTCAGCATTATTGCTAAGGGATTCCAAAGTAAGACTCAGTTCATTCCATATACTCAGGACAACAAGACCTTGTTGGGTCTTTAAACCCTCTCCTCAGTTGGGTAGATTCATCAATGTGCTCATTACATTGGGGTCTCTCCTCCTGCCATGTTCTCCTGGAAAACTATTCTTACCCATAAAATCTGATGAATATTGTGTAAGTGATAAGACGGACATGCCATAAAGGTGGAAGAATGGAGGAGGAAGAGTTTACGACTGATGCTAACCGGAATGTTTGATGGCTGCTGGAGAAAGGTGAACACTTTGAAGTTGGTGAATATACAGAAGCTAAAAAACAGCACCCCCAGCTGTCTGTTTGTGGTACTGTTGCTGTACTGCTGGAAGCTATACTACTTGTATTTCATATACTACCAGAGTCACCTAGGGTAAACAGGTTCAGTGGAGCTTCCAGACTAGAACAAGCTAGAAATAAAGACTTGGTGTTCTGCTTGCCACAAATTACCTGCTGAACATCCTAAAAATTACACATTTATGCCTATCAAAAGAGTTTACCAAAAGACTTCAAAGAGAACTTGTAGACTTGGCAAACATTTTCCAGCAAAAAACATATCAGATGGTCTTGCTGGCCTGCTTTGGATTGGGAAGCTAGGACCCGCCAAGAATTTTTGAAATCATGAATCCTGTTTGCAGCCCTGGATCTTCTGAGGTTCCCTATGCAAGCGCCAAAGCTATCTGTTATCCAGCTGGTTTTCCTATGGGCTATGCAGCAGCAGCTCCTGCCTGTTCTCCTAACATGTACAGTGGAGCAAATCCTACCTTCCAAAGAAGTTGCACTCCTGGTACACCTTATAAAATGTTCTGTTCACCCACCAGTGCGACAGTGCCACCATACTCCTCCTCCCCGAACCCTTCTCAGACTGCTGTATACCCTGTAAGAAGTGCCTACCCCCAGCAAAGCCCATATGCACAGCAAGGCACGTACTACACACAACCCCTGTATACTGCTCCCCCTCATGTCATCCACCACATCACAGTGGTGCCACCCAATGGTATGCCGGCAACAGTGTATCCTACACCCATGCCCCCTACCAGAGGTAATGGAGTAACCATGGGCATGGTGGCTGGGAGTAACCATGGGCATGGTGGCTGGGAGTAACCATGGGCATGGTGGCTGGGACCACTGTGGCCATGTCAGCAGGCCCCCTGCTGAATGCTCACTCTCCAACTTCCATCGCCCCTCACCCAGTCACCGTGCCAACATACCGAGCCCCAGAAACACCTACCTATAGTTACATGCCCCCTCCGTGGTGATAACCCTGCAAATGTTTGAGGATGGAACTTTGCAGTCACATCACTGAGGTTTCACAGCCTGTACTGCAGGCCTTGTGCCTCCAACCAGGACTCTCTTCTTCATGCTCTCAACATTTAGCTAAACACTACAACATTCTGGCCCAGCAGGTCCCAACGTGGGTAGTCTTCAACTAACTTTTTGGGTTGGTTCTAAAGCAAATCCTGTTTTGTGGACGATGTGGCAATTTTTTAGCTAACTATAATGATAAAAAGGAGCTCTGGTAGCATAGCACTTACAAATCGGGCTGCAAATCGCAAGGTTGGCAGTCCAAAACTACCAGCTGTTCTGTGGGAGAAAGATGAGGCTTTCTGCTCCCGTAAAGATTTACAGCCTCAGAAACCCTGTACAGGGTTGCTATGAGTCGGAACCAACTCCACGGCACATAACAATAACAATGATAAAAAAGGGAATATTAACCTATTATGAATATATTTAGTCCAATACATGTTTTAAAGAAACAAAATGAAGCTTGCTCAATCTACCTGCAGTGACTGATGTAAAACCATCATATGCAAAACCCAAAGGAATGGAAAAGTGTTTTACAACTTGTATCATTAATGTACTGTTGTATACAAAGTCTTAAAAGTTAAAAGTGTTGAAATGAATTTTTCCATAGAGCATCTAAAATATCCTACATGATTCTTCAACCTTTTGGAATAGATGTGGGTTGCCAGTTAAGAACATGGATTTTAGTTTTCAGTGATATTTTTCTTTAACATTGTACTGGGGGAATATGTCATAGGATGTGGGGCGAGTTGGAAAGGCTGCAGTTGCCTAGGGTATGGCATACAGGGTTCACAGGCCCCATCCTTTTCATACTAGCTTGGCAGTGTCAGTGTAATGTGGGTTTTCTTAAAGATCATCAAATAGAGTGTGTGACGAGTACATTTAGAGACAGGGGGCTGAATGATGTATCAGAAAAGTAACTTTATCCACTATCTAATTTTTCAATACAAATTTCTTATAAATTAAGGTAATTTATAGCAGGAGCTCTGGTAGCGTAGTGGTTACGAATCGGGCTGCGAACCTTAAGGTCAGCAGTTCAAAACTACCAGCCGCTCCACGGGAGAAAGATGAGGCTTTCTACTCCCGTAAGAATTTACACCCTCGGAAACCCTGTACAGGGTCGCTATGGGTCGGAACCGACTCAACGGCACTTAACAACAACAACAACATAGCAGTAGTGGAAAAGTCCTGTGTAGAACTAAGTTATTTTCTTGGCAGGAAAGGTGTATGAAAGATGAATGGTGATAACACTTGTGGAGGTTCTATTGGTTTCTGCTTTATTTAACTTAGAAAACCATTGCTTTTTTTTTTTTTTTTATTGTCCCCTGAGAAATATTGAGTCCACTGAAGAACATAAAGCTCTTGCACCCCCATCAACCTTCCATACACATAAACTCACAGAAAGGCAGAGATTATATGTTATGTAGAAAGTTGTGTATGTAAGAATAATTAAATGGGAACAAAACTATTTAAAAGTTAAAAAAAAAAAAACGTATCAGACAAGGGACTGATCTCTAAGATTTATAGACAATTTCAATGTATGAGCTACAACAAAATAGTCCAAACAAACTAATTTTAAAATAGTCAGAACATAGACACTTCATCAAAGAAGACATTCAAACAGCCAACAGACACATGAAGAAATACTCATGATCATTAGCCATTGTTGTTAGGTGCAATCAAGTCAGTTCCAACTAATAGTGACCCTCATGCACAACACAATGAACTGGGCTGAAACTGTGTCATCAATCCATTTCCTTTAGGGTCTCCCGCTTTTTTATTGACCCTCCACTTTATCAAGCATAATATCCTTCTCTAGGGGCTGTTGCTTCCTGACACATGTCCAAAATCTTGCCATCCTGACTTCTAAGGAGAAGTCTGGCTGTACTGCTTCCAAAACACATTTGATTGTTCTTCTGGCAGTCCATGCCAGTTTCAGTATTCTTTTCTAACAGCATAACTCAAATACATCAATTCTACGGTGTTCTTGATTCATTGTCCCACTTTCACATGCATCTGAGATGATCTCAAAATATCATGATTGGATTAGGAACGAACACCTTACTCCTCAAACTGACATCTTTACTCTTGAACATTGAAAGAAGTCTTTTGCAGCAGATTTTTCTAATGCAATACATTTGATTTCTTGACTACTGCTTCCATGGGCATTGATTGTGGATCCCAGCAAAATGAAATGCTTGACAACTTCAGTCTCCTCCATTTATTATGTTATTTGTTGGTCCAGGTATCTGAGGATTTTCTTTTTCTTTAAATTGAGGTACAATCGATACTGAAAGCTGTCGTCTCTGATTTTCATCACTAAACATCACAAATCCTCTTCACTTCCAGCAAGCAAGGTTATGTAATGTGCATCATCACAGGATGTTAATAAGTATTTCTCCAATCCTTATGCCATGTTCTTCATATAATCCAACTTCTTGGATTATTCACTCAGCATACAGATTAAGCATGGCAAAGAATAAAACTGACACACACCTTTCCTGATTTTGAACCATACAGTATCCTTTGTTCTAACTTTTGCCTCTTGGTCTATGTACAGATCTCTCATAAGCACATTTAAGTGTTCTGGAATACCCTCTCTTCACAATGTTATCCATAGTTTGTTATCATCCACACAGTTGAATGTCTTTGCATTCAATAAAATAAAAGTACACATTTTTCCGGTATTCTCTGCTTTCAGCCAAGATTAATCTGACATCAGTAATGATTTCCCTGGTTCCGCGTCCTCTTCTGATTCTGGCTTGAATTTCTGGCAGCTTCCTGTAGATATATTACTATAACTAACTGTTTTCTAATTATCTTCAAAATTTTACTTGCATGTGATATTAATGACATTGTTCATGATTTCTGCATTTCATTGGGTCACCTTTCTTTGAAACAGACACAAATACAGATCTCTTCCAATTGGTTGGCCAGGTAATTATTTTCCAAATTTCTTGACATTAATGAGTGAGCACCTCCAGTGCTTCATCAGTTTGTTAAAAGATTTTAATTTGTTGAACTTGACCTACACCTATGGAAGCAGTAGCTCAAAA